CTGGTGCACCTATGATTCCGTTCGAAGACTTCACTACAGGGGCGCATTGGAAATCCACCCTGTACGCAGATGTTCCATGGGAAGAGCCACCCCCTTTTCACCATATCGAATATGAAAACTGGATGTCAGGGAAGGCTGCCAGCTTCTTCAAGCGTGACCCTCTGCACATTTTTCGGCTTGGGGTGGCCAGGAACTTCATTGGGTCTAGCATCTTGCTGTTGTGCTTTGAAGGCTACTTTGACACTGACGATGATGGTTGTGATGGGTACTCAGTGGATAAAAGGCTGGTGAGAGCTTGGGCCAATTTCGCACTTTGGTCTGACACTCAAGGTATGACTTGTTCTGGCATCAGATCGTTTAGCCGTGACAAGATCCACTTCGCCAACTCAACATCCTTCCCATGGGTCAGTTGTAAAGGCAGTGATTCCATCATCCTGTTGAAGTGGCTTGATTGGTTTACAAAGCTTCACCTACTTTCCAGTCCTGACTCCCGCATTCTGCAAAAGATTTCCAATGGTTGCGTCAATGGCTTAGCATTCCAGTGCATTCATCGACACGGCATTTTCTGTCGTTTCCATTGCAGGGAAAAATGATGAAGTCGTGCAAAAGGTTTTGCTGTGCCTACGCGGAGCTTGCTCAAATCTGTTTTAGGCAGGGGCGGACATTGTTTGCCATGGTGCCAAAGGCACATGCTTGGGACCATGTGGGGCACAGTTTGGCGCTTTCCAAGGCTGCTGGTCATGTTATGACTGTCAATCCCGCACTGTGGGATTGCTCGATGGCGGAGGATTTTGTGGGAGCAGTGGCGAGGCAGTCACGACGTATATCGCACAAAAACGTGTGTGAAAACACCCTTTTGATGTACAGAATCAAAGCGCGCATGGTAATTAAGAATTTCAAGAAGAAAAAACAGTGGCGACTCTGATCTATGATTCTTTTTTCCAGATTGTATCAGTTGATGTCTGCTACAGAATATGCAGTAGGGTGGTCACAGCCTAACACCAGGTTCGCCACTAGTTCTGTAATGATTAATTCGAACATTGAGCTCTGCTGCTCTCTGGAAAAAAATGAGGCCCTGGCTGTCATTGCCCTCTCATTGGAGTTCATTGACCATGGGAAGCGGCAATGTCCATACTGTTTAGTATGGAGTGTTTGCAGTGCTAGCTGGTGAAACGGCAATATTTTGTTTGGGAACATTTTCCTCCATCCATATGTGGGATAATCTATCCACGGGTATCACCCATCTATATCAGAAATGTTTGGGGTCACCACTCACCACTTCTCATGTGTTGTCGCTTTCTTGCCAACATGTTCCTCAACCCAGGAGGCCCGGCCGGCAAGTCATCCCAAATGGTATGGATGGATATTGAAGGATCATTTAACCTGGTAAGGGGTTGGTAAAAGTATCATCAGAACTTACAAGTCGCTAACATAATCCATTTATCAATGGGATAAAGTCCAATGAAGGTATTTAATTACTAGCCATGGCAACCAACCACTTGCACAGTGGGTAATCATCAAACAGTGGTAAAGGATAGTAAAGGCTTTTTGATTTTTCACATTGAAGGTTCCTATTATTTATGGAAAACCCATATAATATTCTTGGTGATGAATGATGTTTCATGAAGCCATTGAAAACCACTTGGTGGGCAGAGGCGTTTTTCAAAATCAGAGGCGATTCCTGAAATTAGAGGCTACAATTTCTGCCTCTAGCATTAGAGGCTAAAAAAGGCACCACCGGATGATTCAGGTATATATATATGTATACATAAGTCCGAGTCGCCTATTGACTAGGCCTACTGATGAAGCTGTCTCAATCTCGCAAGGATGTTTTTCCTCATGAGCAACGGACTCAATCAGCCGCTTCCTCAAGAATGCCTCAAACTGGACGACCAGGGGCGAAAAGATGCCGAGAGCATCTGGGAGCTCACTTCTTGATAGTGCCCTTCAGCTCCACAGTTCCCTCGTCGATCCCGTATTTCTTAATGACCTTGCGGTCATGAAGCATGTCGAACTCCTCAGTGGCGTCCTTGCCAGCAAACATCATGATGGACTTCTTCCCGCCAGGGTGCTCACCTGAAAGTCATCCAAGCTGGTCAACTCTGGTGCAAAACTGATGCAAAACTTGTAATTTTGTCGAATCTTTGCGTGTGCTTATGTATGCTTCCAGACCTACCTCTCTGAGCAATCAAACCCGCAGCATGTGGCAACAATTTGGCAAAATAATATTATATAAGTAATAAAGGAATGCGGACACGCTGACATGTCTCTTCCTACATCTCGCTACAATGTTTCACCCTTTCTGCTCATATTTTTCAACCAGGAAAAAATAGAAAGCAACGCAAAAGAACAAAAGAACACAAAAGATGAAAACTAAGAAGTGGAAAAGAGATAAAAAGAGATGAAACAACTACTGAGTACTGGTTTCCAAAACAGGTGACTCAGGAAGTTGGTGACGTCAAGCACCTGGTCACCCACAATGACCCAGCAGTCCTTGTCGGTGTTGTGCTTGGCAACCTCCTCTGCGCTGACTGACATGCTGACTCGAGTTGGCTGTGGAAAATCAGGTCACCAAATCGAGCTACAAACTTGCTGAGCCAAAATGAGTTCGAAACATATCACTGCTTTTTATGCTCAAATTCGATTTGACCACTCTGATGGTGTTGTTGAATGTTTTTGAGCGGCTGTGAAAACTCAAGTTCCTTCAATAGGGCATCAACAAATTTAGGAAGGTCCCTTCGCTTACCATACGTTTGTACATGATTGATCATGATTGATATTCTTGATGTAATGTTTGGGAGTCTCTAAAAAAATAATCCAATGAAAGCGGTCAGCCCGGCAATCAATTGCACATTGGCAACCTTTGCATACCCTTTCTTGACAATCTTCACTGGAGGAATCCAAGAAGCAGTAGCAGTAGCAGCATCAGCAGTAGCAGCATCAATAGTAGCAGTAAAGTAGCAGCAGCAGTATTCGCAGTCGCAGTCGGGTAGCAGATGGTAGCAGTATTGGCATTGGTAGCGGTCTTAGCAGTAGCAGCAGTAGACTGAGGCGGGTCTACAGGTGTCTGAAGCACAAATGGGAAGGTCCCATCCCTTGACTCATGTCTTTCCGATTTCTGAATACCGATGTCCATCCAATATCGCCCAATTCATAGTTTGTCTTCCCTAAAATTTTGCGGTGGCTCACATAGGCTTTCCGCGACAGGAGATCCTTTGTTCCCAAGCAAATTCATTGCCACTTCAGTTGATCACCCATGTCCAATTTTCATCAATTCTCAAGCTTTTCGCACGAGTGAGCAGCTGGGCTGTGTCTGGCTGAGTCATAAAGCTTGCAAGGATGAAAAAGCAGGCTAGTGGAACGATGAAGAAATTGCAAAGAAGAGTGTCACTTTGTCCTCATCACTGACTCATCATATAAGATATTGGATTGTTCTTGTCAAACAACTGGTTGATATTGTTTGATAGCATTGGTTCCACTCTCGGAAAGTAGACCGGCACTGGAATGAAAGCAAGTTGGCGCTTCAGTCCTTTGTGCAGTCCCAAAAATACATTATTTCCTGCGTCCTGCTCCTCATTCAAAAAAAAGAGACTCTAAAGTCTGGGCGCAGCTCCATTTTGGGAGGAGGAGCCTGCTCAGCTTTGTGCATGAGCAAGTCTCATCTGATGGAGTCCCAGCTAGAATCTCAGGCAGAACAGCAAGCACTATACAAGGCCAGATGCGTAGGACGGCGTAGGAACATAGGACACCAATCTGCTGAAAATTTCATCCCGAGACAACACCCTTCAGAGTAATTGTTCCTTCTTGAAGGCCATGTTTCTTTAGAATACTTCTGTGATGCACAAGATCAAAGATCTCCGTGGCATCTCCACCTGCCAGGTTGAGGATTGATTGCTTTCCACCAGGATGTTTCGCAACATACTTGGAAAGGTCCAGCACTAAGTCTCCAATGATGACCCAACAATCGCTCTCCTCCTTGTGTTCAGCAACTTCCTTATGGCCTATTCTTAATCTGAAGCAGCTGGGCAGCCGGAAAGGCGAGAAAGGACGGGACTTGCTTTGTCCCATTTGCCCAGCGGCCAACCCGCGGGCCCTTGGGCTTTGATGTGGTAATGCTGAAATGGCCGAGGTGCCGAGGTGCCTGATGTCAAATGATGTAATGAAAATAGCAAAATACTTAAAATGCAGCATGGCCTCGTGTGTGGATAGAGATGGCAGCTAGTCAGTAAAGGCCACCCGGGAAGTGTTGTTTTTGAATGGCTTCTGTTTGGAACCCTTTTGAATGTATGGAGCACCGGTCAAATTGGTGGTGGCAATGTACAAACGCAAGTAAACTTCCGTTGTTTAGATGTGGAGTGTGTGTGTGCGTGTATGTATGTAGTATGACAGACACGCACACACACACACACATATATATATATATATATATTCTATGCATATAATGTAAGACACATTTTACAAGTTTTTACATGTTAGTTGTGCACTTGCACATGCTCATATTTCACAATCTCACATTTCCATACATGTTCGAGGTCGTGCCTGGAAGTCACGATAGTTGGACCTTGGCACAGGCGAGAGGAACAGCAGAAAAATATCAACTAAACACTAAACAATACTAAACATAACTATAAACCCAAAAAAAAATCCATAAACATCCGTAAAACACCAGAAGGACATTGCAAGAAATGGCATGTGCTGGAGCCTGGAGCAATGGAACTGAGGGGGTCTCTACGAGTCAATCATCAAAATGACGAAATGTAGAGAAGTGTAGAGAAGGATTCAGAAGGATGTTCTAAGGCGTGGGGATTTAGAGTTCCAAGCCCTGCAACATGGCTCAACAAATTGTTGACTCGCGTTATGTCATGGAATTTTGCAGCCGTTTACGCCAGCCTCCTCATTTTTTTGAGGAGGCCTGACTCATGTTTTATTGTTTGGATTGACAACCTAAGGCAGTTTGTCGTTGACGCGGCCGACTTTGTAAATTCCTCACCAGCCTTCTGTCACTGGACAAACTCTGACATGTTCATGGCGCAAAGGTAGATTGTAGGAAAGTATTTGAACATCTCATCGCTGCTTAGCCAAAACACTCCATCATTGGCCTTCACAGGATCACAAACTTCCTTGACCTCAGGAAATTGCTCCCAACCACAACCATCGTCCGTCCACATGCTGGATGTGCATTCACCCTCACCCCAAGGGTTACGCAGTTTCACCAAATCATGCCCAGAACCAGCAACATTGTTGAGGCACGTGATCAATGTGTAGGCGTGGCCATCAATGATTCCGTTGACGCTGCTAGAATTCGAACCAGAACGCGTTCCAAGGGCCATCATGTAACTTGCCGCATCCCATGCACACATTTTTTGAAACATCTCGTCCTGTTGACATTTCAAGCCCAGCTCACCACCGCCACCAACTTCTGGCCATTTCATAGGCCAAACACCTTTTGTGCCATGCGGCGAGTTGCTCATAGAGTCCCACTCGTTCGTGTTAGGGTTGAAGGTTCCGAAACATTCAAAACCCTGCCCAGAGTTTGTGAAGGTGTACTGATACCTGCAACCGGTAAGTAATCGCCAAGCATGCGTTGGTTGACCGCCCTCAATCTGATCCCATCCACCGCAGTGGATGGCCACAGCTTTCTCCACATAGCATGGCCAAAGTTCACCGTGAAGGCAGGGAAAGCAGCCCAAGATTCCGCTGCTGTCTGGCAACGTGCAGAGGCGTTCGTCCACCTCTATATCCACGGGGTGCCATGACTCCAAATCGTACAGGGTCACCGTGTATGTCTGTGGCTTGTTGGCAGGAAGGCTCTTGAAATACGGTGTCCGCTGCAATAGTTTTTGCACAGCACCATGGAACTCCGACAACGCACTCATAGCACAAAGTAGCCAACAATCGCCTACATGACCTTGCGCGATATCTTCAGGGTGGACGTCACCAATCAGCTGAATATGTGGCACATCACAGAGCCCTTGTCCTCTGCCTGGGTGGAGTGGCTTGCCACACTTGTGACCTTTGTAAGACATTGAATCGGTGTAGTCATCCGGTGTCATCCTGATTTCATCATAGGGTGTCAGAGCAAAGTACTTCGCCTGAATGAATGTGAAGTTTGGAGATTGACCGGCCAGGAAACGGTATCCACTACCGCTGCGCAGGATGAGATCATAACTTTGCTGATCTACTGGCCAATTTTTCATCTCTGTCTGGAAATGCACGCCCTCATACAATTGAGGGTTTTTTTTCACTCGGTTGATGCCCTCGGAAATGGATCCTTGTCTCTTGTTGATCTTTGGTTTCGTCTTGTATGTGAAGCTCCCTGGGCCTGTTATCGCATCAAACTGCCACTTTTCATTCTTGGCCCCGCTCCAATCAATCTTTGCCGGTGCAATTTTCTGTGCCCCGGGACTGCGCTGGGCCTTGGCGTTTGAAGCACCTGGCTTGCATGTACTGCAAATGCCCAGGGCATCGAATCTGGAAGCTACATGTCCCATCTGTGAAACTGTAACGCTGCAGCTGCAAAGTGTTAGAGAAGCAAAGTTAAACTGCTAAATCTACTAAGTCTAGCTAAAAATACAACAATCACTACAAAACATACTGTATAAAACTATGAAAAACTGAATCTTCTTTCAACCGTATAAGCTAACAGTGTTACTACTTTGACCCCAAGAAAATATCTCTCTTTTCCAATGACTACGCCAAGGTCCTCCCACGTCCACCCACCCAAAGAGGCTTCAATTTGTCCAGTGGCCCTTCTAACTAACAGTATCTCTAGCTGAGCTTACAACCAACCTGCCTGTCCCTCGATGGGAAAATATCGGAGAAGAACTATTGGATTTGCTGCCAATGCATAATTAAGAGTGGCTTGAATTCTTCAAGACCAGGTAGCCGGGCTTCGTCGTGAGCCCGACATATTGTTCGGGGTGTTGGGCAAAGCCATCAAGCATCGCCTGCAGCAAACCAAGGCCAAAAATAAACATTTATGGAGACAAACTCCACTGAAACACTCAACCCCGGGCCCTGAAAATGCGATGATTATACACCTGTGCGTCGGTTTGGTACTTCGAAAGAGGCAAGGACTTCCTAGCAGTCCTAGCACCTAGCAATGAAGAGTGATGCACGCTGATGACTGAGTTAAGTTAAGGCGTGGGCGTACATCACCTGCAAATGCACAGGGATGTCCAAGCAACATGAACAGCTCCCATACTTAGCCATGCTCGTATGTTGAGCAAAAAAAGGATGCTACGATAATGGCCTGCTGCTATTTCAAAGACGCACAGCAAACTGAAGCTCATAACTTACTTGCTGAGGCATACAGGGACAAAATGAGACAAACCTGTCTGCATATCGGCCTTGGCATGACATTTGGAGTCTACCTTTGGAGGATGACCTCATGACACTTGTGAGGTCTGCTGCTTCCAATAGCAGAATTGTAGCGCTGGCAGTGCTTCCATGGAGCTGCAAGATGCTGCACACAACAGTCTGTGTATTTCGCTACGCACACTTGAAGGTACCCCATCCTTGTACAGTCATATATTATATATATATACAGTTCTGGTCTAAAGTCCCCAAAGAAACGGGATCTTTGTGCAACCGGCTAAAGGCGGCGACATGCCATATCGCTGCAAGAATTCAGCGCTCAACATCAAAATGAACCAAATGCCAATCGCATGGTTCGAATCAGCTTCAAGTGCCATGATTCACTTCATTCAATTTTCAGTATCCCGTTGCATGATTTGGCAATGCCCAAAACCGATGTGTACTAATTATGTTTGTTCAATCAATCTCCTTGTTGCCTGGCAGAATGAATCTTGATCAATCAAATTCTTGTCAAGTGCATCCCAACAGTTGGACAACTCCTGTGGACATAGCAGCGGTCTTGGCTGTCCGCATTCACTGCCTTGGGTGAAATCAATCGCAGGCATATTAGCAGAAATCATTCAAAACATGCCAAAACCATCCAAAACCCATTCTTCAAATCTCTTCGATCTTGTTGGTGCTGTATTTTCCAAAGCCTTGATTGCAAAATCGGCCCAGGTCCGAACGCGCAGCGCACATGCCACCAATGACAAGGAAAACGTCCTTGAACTTAAGGTTTAGAGTCGGATGAACTGAAGATATATGTGACACCGGTCAGGACAATGCCAGTTTTGAAGCCAGAAGTCATACAAACAGAACATGAAAGAACATGATAATATATAGAACACAAACCAATCCGATCGCTTGTGTCATGGTACAATCTAACTTCATCACAGCTGAGGCGGAAGCATAGCTTTCGCCATGCGCACCCAATCACTAGGGTTTTGCGATACGTCGGCTGGAAATGAGGCACATGAAGGCGTGAGGGAACATGCGTTTTTGTTACGTGGAAACTGGTGGAAGCCTCCTTTGACGGTGTTTGATTCTGAATCGCCCCTGCTCAGAAGTAAGGCGGCAAAATCATGTGAAATTGTGATTCTCTCTTGCACCGCAACACCAGGGAAAGAATCTATCCATTTGCCCCCTGGTGTTTGGAGATACTTCAAGGCTGCATCAAACACGTGCAGAGAATCAGAGTTTTCAACGCATATATATATATGCATATGTAAATCTATATATTAATATATATATAGTATTATATAGTTGTCTAATCTGTCTCTTGGAGCAGTGCTGAACGCCGCGTATCAACTGCCCACCAAAAAAAAAGTATGTTTGAAGAGCAGTGGCATGTTTTGTTTGAAAGGCTACAACTCAAGCACGCTTTAAAAAAATTGCATATACAAATTTGAGAGGCTCCGAGGCAATCACTGATGCCTGCCCATGGGTTTGCAATTCGAATAGGGGCCCTGGGCTCGAAGATCCAAATTCTTGAAGATGTGTCCCGTGAAGCATGGAATATCAAATGGTAAAGCAAAACAGGAGCTGCTGACGAGTGATCCCCGGTTGGTTGAACTGATCAGTAACTGATCTAGAAGATTCAAAGACACATATTTCGCGTGTTTTTCCCGGGGTCACTGTACCCGAAAAACACAGGGTTTCGCGCCCGAGAGTGTTTTCACCTGCATTTTGAAGCGTTCCCGAACTGTCACTCTTCTCTATACACGCGAACTGCTCTTGCGCACTGTGCTATTGACATGATGACGACATGATGACGACATGATCTTGACATGATGATGATGATGATGATAAAAATGATGATAAAAATGATGATAAAAATGATGATAAAAATGATGATAAAAATGATGATAAAAATGATGATAAAAATGATGATAAAAATGATGATAATGATGATGATGATGATAAAAATGATGATGATGATAAAAATGATGATGATGATAAAAATGATGATGATGATGATAAAAATGATGATGATGATAAAAATGATGATGATGATGATAAAAATGATGATGATGATGATAAAAATGATGATGATGATGATGATGATGATGATGATGATAAAAACGGTGATTATGATAAAAATGATGATGACGATAAAAATGATGATGATGATGATGATAAAAATGATGATGATGATAAAAACGGTGATTACGATAAAAAATGATGATGACGATAAAAATGATGATGATGATGATGATGATGATGATGATAAACATGATGATAAACATGATGATAAACATGATGATAAACAAGAAGATAAACATGATGATAAACATGATGATAAACATGATGATAGACATGATGATAGACATGATGATAGACATGATGATAAAAATGATGATAAAAATGATGATAAAAATGATGATAAAAATGATGATAAAATGATGATTAAAAAAAAAATGATAAAATGATGATAGAAATGATGATAAAAATGATGATGAAAATGATGATGAAAATGATGATGATGATGACGACGACGATGATGATGACATGATGATGACATGTATGTTCCAAACAGGGGGGGAGGGTCTTGCTCGCTATTCTATAGACATAAAATGGTGTCATTGACCCCTAGGGTGCATATAATTTGCTGAGCACCAACGTCGGACCCCCAAGTCTATAAAATAAGGGGTCTAACCACTAACCTTGCCAAACTTTGACCATACAAATCATGATGTCTATGAAATTGGGAACTCTTACCCCCCCAATCTGGGTGTTATATTTTGAAAAACAGTGCAGCTCACCACAAACAAAATGAGAACATGTATCTCAAATAGTTTCAAATGATCCAAAATTTCCATATGTCTAAAGTTATGAAGAATATAGAAGAAAGGAATGGAAAGGACATGCAAGGGTAGAAATTGGATGAAATTGGTAGAAGAGGAACTAGATTGTTTTCCCCACAGCCTTTGGCCTATTCGGCCCGGTCTGAGTTAAGGTCTGACGATGCTATACAATAGTGGGTGAAATCAATATTGCCGGCCGTACGACGCAATGTCGGACCTCCGGAGGATCATTCTATTGAAAAAGAGCACCGACAAACAAGACACAGGCTCCGGTAGTATGCAGAAAGGGCCCAGTCGTCGCATGTCGTGGCAAGATGTGGCAGGAGGTTGCCCAAACCAAGAAGTCAAGACGGATGGTAGCAAAGATGTGAAAGGATAGTAGAGGAAGTAGAACTTTGCCGAGGAGTGAGAGCTGAGATGGCTTCAGAGTACTGGTTCTGACCCCTGCTGCTCTAATTCCCGTGCTCTCTCCCACAGAGCAACAGTGTTATGGTGCAGGTGGGGGGTTAGACCCCTCCATTTTATAGAGATCCACCCCTGCTTATGGTGCAGGTGGGGGGTTAGACCCCTCCATTTTATAGAGACCCACCCTGCCAGCAAGGGCCCAGTCGTGGCATGTTGTGGCAGGAGGTTGCCCAAACCAAGAAGTCAAGAGGGATGGTAGCAATTGGTAGCAAATATGTGAAAGATTGTGAAGGGATAGTAGGGGAAGTAGAACTTTGCAGAAGAGTGAGAGCTGAGATGGCTTCTGAGTGCTGGTTCTGACCACTGCTGCTCCAATTCCCGTGCTCTCTCCCACAGAGCAACAGTGTTATAGTGCAGGTGGGGGGTTAGACCCCTCCATTTTATAGAGATCTCCCTGCTTATGGTGCAGGTGGGGGGTTAGACCCCTCCATTTTATAGAGGCAGGAGGTTGCCCAAACCAAGAAGTCAAGAGGGATGGTAGCAATTGGTAGCAAATATGTGAAAGATTGTGAAGGGATAGTAGGGGAAGTAGAACTTTGCAGAAGAGTGAGAGCTGAGATGGCTTCTGAGTGCTGATTCTGACCCCTGCTGCTCCAATTCCTCTGCTCTCTCCCACAGAGCAACAGTGTTATGGTGCAGGTGGGGGGTTGGACCCCTCCATTTTATAGAGATCTCCCTGCTTATGGTGCAGGTGGGGGGTTAGACCCCTCCATTTTATAGAGACTCACCTTGCCAGCAAGGGCCCAATCATCGCAAGATGTGGCAGGAGGTTGCCCAAACCAAGAAGTCAAGAGAGATGGTAGCAATTAGTAGCAAAGATGTGAAAGATTGTGAAAGGATAGTACAGGAAGTAGAAAGATGGCTTCTGAGTGCTGGTTCTGACCCCTGCTGCTCCAATTCCCCCTCCATTTTATAGAGATCCACCCCTGCTTATGGTGCAGGTGGGGGTTAGACCCCTCCATTTTATAGAGACTCACCCTGCCAGCAAGGGCCCAGTCGTGGCATGTCGTGGCAAGATGTGGCAGGAGGTTGCCCAAACCAAGAAGTCAAGAGAGATGGTAGCAAAGATGTGAAAGGATAGTAGAGGAAGTAGAACTTTGCAGAAGAGTGAGAGCTGAGATGGCTTCTGAGTGCTGATTCTGATCCCTGCTGCTCCAATTCCTCTGCTCTCTCCCACAGAGCAACAGTGTTATGGTGCAGGTGCGGGGTTAGACCCCTCCATTTTATAGAGATCCACCCCTGCTGCTGGTGCAGGTGGGGGGTTAGACCCCTCCATTTTATAGAGACTCACCTTGCCAGCAAGGGCCCAGTCGTGGCATGTCGTGGCAAGATGTGGCAGGAGGTTGCACAAACCAAGAAATCAAGAGGGATGGTAGCAAAGATGTGAAAGGATAGCAGAGGAAGTAGAACTTTGCAGAAGAGTGAGAGCTGAGATGGCTTCTGAGTGCTGATTCTGATCCCTGCTGCTCCAATTCCTCTCCTCTCTCCCACAGAGCAACAGTGTTATGGTGCAGGTGGGGGGTTAGACCCCTCCATTTTATAGAGACCCACCCTGCCAGCAAGGGCCCAGTCGTGGCATGTTGTGGCAAGATGTGGCAGGAGGTTGCCCAAACCAAGAAGTCAAGAGAGATGGTAGCAAAGATGTGAAAGGATAGTAGAGGAAGTAGAACTTTGCAGAAGAGTGAGAGGAAGAGTGAGAGCCGAGATGGCTTCTGAATTTGCAGACTTGTTCAAAAAAACATTGGTCGTGTTTATTCATATTTACTCATGTGGATTTGTGTCATTCAGCAGGTTCCATGTATCAAAATCATGATTTAAACATGTTCCGAACTTTGAATTATTATATGGATTCCTAATGATTCAATATGATTCATGTCGAGTTTCTGAATTTGATCGGATAAATTTTATCTACTCGTGGTCAACAATCTAAAAATCTAACTGAACTATTCAATTCAAAAAACATGCACCAAATTTATATGTCATGTACCTTCCTGTCATTAAAGAAAACAAAACTGGAAAATAAAACATATCCTCTATAAAATAGGGATCTCTGACGCCCCCCCTCCTGAACCCATACTCTGAGCAGAATCATGCAAAACCATGGTTGGGCTATAAAATTGGGGGTCCAACCAACAGAAAAACCATACATAAAACGTTTTATGCAGGGCCATAACCCTCGCTATTTCATAGAGGGGTTTGGATCAGACATATGATGACATGATGATGACATGATGATGACATGATGAACCTGATGAAAGACTGCCCCTGGACGTTCGCCCATAACTCGGAAGTTTTCGAAGTAAACTTGCTTTGGTAGTAATAATAGTATATATATATATACATACATGATCAAAAATACACGTAGGGTAATCTGTGTATTTACAAATGTGCAAGGTTGGGTTTAAAAAATTATTTAAAAAAACTATGTCCTTCCGTCCTCCCTTCCTTCCTTCGTTCCTTCCTTCCTTCCTTCCTTCCTTCATTCGTCCCTTCCTTCCTTCCTTCCTTCGTTCCTTCCTCCCTTGTCCCTTCCCCCTTTTCCCTTTCCCCTTTTCCCTTCCCTTTCCTTCCCTTTCCCTTCCCTTTCCTTTCCTTCCCTTTCCTTCCCTTTCCTTCCCTTTCCTTCCCTTTCCTTCCCTCTTTCCTTCCTTCTTTCCTTCCTTCTTTCCTTCCTTCTTTCCTTCCTTCTTTCCTTCCTTCCTTCCTTCTTTCCTTCCTTCTTTCCTTCTGCTTTTGTTTGATCCCTATTTTCTTTTTGATTCCTATTATTTTGTTGATTCCATTTTTTTTGATGCCTACGCCTCTGCCAATCAGGCGATATGTGGAAAGGATTTACATCAGGGACGCCCCGTCTAATTACATACCTACCATTTTGCTTGGGGATGCAGGCAACCTAAGAACGCCATGCCCTTAGATTCATGACATTGGTGGTTTCAGCCAAACGAAATTTCACACCCGTGATGGTCTGCGTGCGCATCTACTTGAAGTGCCGCTTGTGGCGACAACAGTGTGTGTATGCGTGTGAATGTGTGTGTGAATGTGTGTGAATGCGTGTGTGTGTGTGTGCGTGTGTGTGTGTGTGTGTGCGTGTGTGCGTGTGGTGTGTGGGCGGGGAGGTACATGGTTAAAATCTAGAGACCCTCACCTGGCAGGTGCGGAACAAACTTACCTATCGTCTAAGATCAAGCTGACACTGCCACAAATGCCTTCACAAATCCCCTGACAGCATTAAAATACAGACAGCATTAAAATACATAAAATCTGAATGTATGGAAATCATGACATCTACACGAACTATAGACATCCATGGGTTTCGGATGGCCGCTTGGTTTTCTTCACTCTGTAACGGTCTGCGGGTGACGCTGTGGTCTCTCGAACGAGCCCAGCGGCACAAGCCGGGGCTAATGCACTGACAAAGCCAGCCTCATCCCGCTTCAAACTTCAGAAAGGCATTGCCGCCTTTTCACTTCTTGATAGTGCCCTTCAGCTCCACAGTTCCCTCGTCGATCCCGTATTTCTTAATGACCTTGCGGTCATGAAGCATGTCGAACTCCTCAGTGGCGTCCTTGCCAGCAAACATCATGATGGACTTCTTCCCGCCAGGGTGCTCACCTTGCAACGAACGAACATTCACAATGCTCGCCAGTCAGTTCATCTTAGAGCTATATCAGTAGGCCACCTGCCTCGTACAAAGTCTGCAAGAAGTACAAGACCATCTCAAGAAAGAAAGAATGCCACAAATGCCCTGTTGCTATATGAAACTATCCTGGCGACATGAAGTTGAAAAACAGAAGCTGTAACATGCTGCAACAGGAACTGATCGGCATCCGAGCGGCTGAGGAAGTTGGTGACGTCAAGCACTTGGTCCCCCACAATGACCCAGCAATCCTTGTCGGTGTTGTGTTTGGCAACCTCCTCTGCGCTGACTGACATGGTCAAAATGTCAAAAGAGCTGATGGGGGAAGCAAGGAGACGGAGACACTCAAAGGGCTCTGAGCCAAACGGAAGCAGCAAGGATTGAAACAGCGAGAATTTCATGCAATTCGCATGATTTTCGATGTTGATGAGAATGGCTTTTCTGGACGACAGTTGCAAAAAATGAGAAGTAGTTAATTGTCAAGGAATGCATGCACCTATTCCGACTCCCGAGAACACTTTTTTGATGCTCTGAAGGCCAGGCCCAGCATGTCAATTTGGACCTGGCTGGTGATAGCTGCTAGTCAGCCAAAGACTGCCACGGCAAGATTTGGCCAAGGCAGTGAAATGCGCGTGCAAATGTGCACAATCGTCCGCGTTTGAATCAATGCCAAAATGGTAGATAGCATGTGTTCGCAAAATGAAGCAACTGCCTATTTGATACTACTTGAGTCAACATCCACAGATTGTGCACAAAGGGTTCTCTTTGTCGTCTCAGCAGTCTGTTCAACGCGACACCATTGTGTTACAATTTATTACCGCCATGTGCTCTCCATTCGCAGCTTACTAAACAAAATTTAAAATCACTACAAACATCTACAAACATTTAAGATGAAGCTAGTGGCAACTTAGTGACCTTGGTGGTACTTATGGTCATAAAGGAAATGAGCCATCAGCCACAGGGTCAAAGATGGGTTGGCTCAAGCTTGCAAGGCTCACCTGGCCACAGCATATGGTGGTGCACAACGCGCACATGCCGGGTCACCTCCTGCAGACCTGCCTGACCTGTCAGTGTCAGAGCAATGAAGAGCCGAAAGATTGTGAAAGACATCCATCCTATCAGGTCATATCAGGTCCTATATGGTCCTATTATCCTCTTGGGAGAGATCCATGGCAAGCTGCACAAGCGCTGCGGGGTCGCCCAGAACTTTTTTGCCATGTGCCTCGAGCATCCAGCTACCCAGGCAACAAAACATCTACTCTGTTCGGCTCTGTCTGCGAACAAATCCCGGACAACGCAAAGACGCAAACCTTCCATCCTATGCGGTCGGCAAAGGCCATCTCAAATGATCATATCATCATCGCCACCTTCCTCATCCTCAATGTTGGCCAATTCACGCTTTTCTCTTTCCCTCTTTTCTTCAGGATCCTCAGCGTCTTTGTTGTCATTCTCATCTGGATATGCCATTGCCTTTACAGCATCATTGTGCATCTGCAAGCAGAAAGCAATGCGCTTGTGCAACGCCTTCTGCGGCTCGCAGGAGTGGTACAAGTCCAGCTTCTGATTGGACTTGACAAACTGCTGGTCATAGTCGATGGTTGCATCGATGACACCATCCACAACAGCCTTTGCAACCACTCCTGCGGCATCTTGTGGAGATTCCAAGCCTAGCTTGGTGCAAATATCCTGCAAGGAGATCTTGCTGTAGGCCAGGCTGATGCTTCGAAGACCTGTCTTGATCACGTTGTACCGGAGTCGGTTGATCAAAGTCAGAGTCTTGTCCTTCTTGAACAGGGCTTCATAGGTCTTGGTGCATTCCTTGAAGGCATGCAAATCACCAGATCGAACAGCCTGGGTGATCGCATAGTAAGGACGAAGTTGTTCCTTAAGCTCCTTCTGCATGAAAAAGGAGCGTTCCGGAATGCCTCCCATCAGAAGCTCCACCACAATGGCGAGTTTGCTGGCTGCCAGCTTGAAGCCAAGTGCCACACTGGCAGTCTGCGGCGCCTTGCGAATGGCTTGCATCAGCTTTGAGTGTGAGTCCGAATACTCGAGCTGGACGGCCTTGATTTGCCCAATGTAGAAAAGGTAGCGGGCATACTGCATGTTTGGCCTGCTCTCGGGGAAGCTTGTCTTGGAAACAAGTTTCAAAGCTTGGTCGTAGAGATTGTAGGCCAAGTAGTTTCTCAGAAGGAGATTCAGGAGGGTGGCCTGGCCCATCTGGTCATGCCGAAGGCATGCACTGCGATAGGCTGCAAGAAGCTCTGGTCGGATCTCTGAGAGACGGCCACATCGCTCGTAAGCGAGTGATAGATAGAAGTACGCCCTGGCATTGAAGAAATCCAACGTACGTCGGTTCAGGGTCTTCAAGAAAAGCACCAAAGCACTTGCTGTCTCAAGAGACTTTTCTTTCTCATTCTTGTCGGAAAGCTTCACCACCAAACTCAGTACTGCATATGCCTCAAGCTCAGGTGGGTACGGCTTGCTGAGCTGTGGAAACTTGATCTCAACCTCTTTGGGTTTGGCCTGGCGAACGTCAAGAACAAAGACACCTATCTACTAGCATTATCTACCCATGTCATCCCATGTCAGCGCAAATATAATGAAATAATTATATAATATATATATATATATATATATTTATACATATATACATGCTTAGAGGGGTCGGAAATCAAGGGGTATGTGGCTCCTGATGCTAAACGGATGTGAAACGCCCTATACCAAGTTAGCCATCATTGACCAAGGGAACCAGCAGCAACATTAAGGGAACATGCTGTGAAATCTCAATCTATCCATCATTAAACCCGTCAACCCATCCAACAGCCATCCATCCCCCGTCTTTATCCATAGTCCAGGTCGTCCAGGTAAAATACAACAAATTGGCCACGAGTTACCAGCAGCTACCAGCAGCTACCAGCAGCTACCAGCACTACCAGCCTTATCGGCATCTGTCATCTCCACATCAGCTGGAGGCACTGCCGCTATGTACTGTGCTTTGTTAGGCCGCGCTGGGTCCACGAACTCCTTACAGGGGACTCAGGACATCTCAGGACTATCCAGGCAAACCACGAATACGAATGCAAATGCCTAACGCCTACAAAAGAAGTAAGCAAGCGGTATGGAAGGCACCAAGCAAGGGAGCAAGCAACTACCCTGAAAGAAAACAGGCATCGCAAGCGCAAACCTAATTTGTTATGCATGCATGGTCAGAATTCTTAGCGAGGTCCCTTTGCATGCTGGCTCTACCAACTCTACCAAGCAATTACCAGGCCATTCACGCTTCATGCTGGATAGTGGACAGTCTCGCTTTGCACACACAGAGCGTATTTCCCGGCAAAGCTGTCCTCCAGCAATGCCTTCAAAACCTCTGGCTCCATGGTGCGGCGGAGTTGGGCAAAGGATCGGAGCACGCGGCCCATGACTCTGGGATCTCCTGCTGTTACGCCAGCAGCGATGGTCTTCAGGTTCTGGGCGATGGTTTCCAGCAGAATCATCCTCACAGCGCACTACCAGTAGCACATTGACACCAACAAGTTGATATAGATTGACTAGACTACAATATATATTCACTATATTTCACTATGATAATATATATATATATACCTGTATCATCAAACAACCATTAAATTTTGGTCGTTTTGGTTTTCTGCCCGTTTCAGAAAATAATGGTAATTCTGCCCGGTTTGGGCCATTTCTGCCCGATCCCAACTTTTCTGCCATATCTTATTTCCACACGTGGAGTCTCTTGCCACATCACATCAAATCATCCAACCTTCAGCAATTCCTGCCGGTAAAGGTACAAACACTTCTGAGTGTTGCTATATAAAAAGCAGGTGGTGACATGAACGTGACAACCGTGAACATCTTCCGATGTGATCTTCGTCTTGCCAACACCCCCAGCCTCAGTCACTGGGCCATACCAAAGAAAATCATCTTAAGATATCCCTAACTGAAAAGCACTTCTATACCCCGCGCTCAAACGTAGAACAGGGCCTCATGAAGAAGAATCTGATCCACTAAGTGTGTTGAAAAGCATCCCAAGAATGGCTACAGCTATGCAGCCAGCAATCAATCCGCTTGGTGTGTCTGCGGGTGGCTGACCCGCTTTGCTAAATCAAAAGAATTTGCCATTTAAACCTAGCTTTGCTGCGATAAAATACATTTTGTCAAAACACATCAGGGCAGAAATCCTGATTTGCGCCCGTTTGCGGGTTTTTGTGTGCGGATTGCGGGTTTTTGCGCCCGATTTGCGGGGCAGTTTTGGTCCGGAAAAACTTGAAAATTGACGATTTGCTGTTTTGCGGGGAGTTGCCGTCCCAAATCTGCGGCGTGAATACGTGTGAATCATACGTGTTTTGCATGACTGCCTTAGGTCTGGTGACTAACGCCAAATAAATAGTTGTATGCGTGAAGTCCCACACGCAAACAAACACACACGTGTCTCAGATGGTACATCTTTGCGAGCCAGAATCTGAACAACACGTGTCATACAGCATTGAAATTTCTGCCAATTGGCATCCAATCCCTGAACAATGCACCACCCCTGCAAAGAATAAAAGACAAAGCATAGCGGGGGCTCAGGCCTGAAAGCGCAGGCCCCATGGATCCAGTCAAACACGTCAGGGGTCAATCAGTGCCACAAGTGTAGCTATGGTGAAAGGAAGTGAAGTTATGGGATGGGACACCATGGAAATACATAGAAAATTAGATTTCAGCCAGATTTCTGCCATTTTGGGTCGTTTGGGTTGAATTGCCCGATCTGACCCAAAATAGGTCAATTGGCTAAAAACAGGGTCATTGACCAAAACAACCTTTTTTTCTGCTCGTTTGCTGGTCCAGGTATATATATATGTATCACTGTAAATATATGTATATATATATATATATATCACTGTGTCTATATATATATATCACTATATGTGTATATATATAATATCTGTATATTATATATATATATCACTATATACAATCTTGCTGTAGGCCTGAATATCGAGTTGGTACCCTCTCTCTCTCTGTGTCTCTCTCGCGCTGGGCATGATCGACTGGGTACTTGTTCATTTCTCATAGATCTTCGACTCTCGTCTTATGATACTATACATTGCGATCATATGCGATTATGATGTAGGGTAGGTACCCATATATATATATATATATAGATGGGCTTGACTCAAAAATCAACTCTTTCCACCATTGAAAGCAATATAAAGTGATCTTAAGAACTGTTTCAGGCGGGTCCTTGGGGTCTTTGGTGGTGGCTCCTCCTTTTCCTTCTTGGCATCCTTGCCCTCCTTAT